GTAGGGGAAACCGGAGTACCCAGAGGAAACCTACGCAGACACAGGAAGAACATGCAAACTCCACTCATAAAGGCCCTGGTCCGGCCGGGATTCGAACCCAGGACCTTCTTGCTGAGAGGCGAGAGTGCTATCCACTCAGCCACCGTGCCGCCGTGCCGTTAAGACAAATATATTGTGGCTCAAATATCACAATATTATCAAATCGTCAATTTTTTGTCAATTCCCATCCTTAATTAACATGCATTTAAAAACAAACCTGGATAGCACTCTCGCTTTTCAGTAAGAAGGTCCTGGGTTCAAATCCCGGTCGGAACAGGGCCTTTCTGAGTGGAGTTTGCATGTTCTCCCCGCGTCTGCGCCGGTCTCCTCCACCATTTAAAAAAAATGCACAATAGGTCTGAATGTAATGAGAACTATGTGAATGGACGGTGCTGGTCGGGGCTTTGATGGTCCAGTGTGTTTGGATACTCTTCCGTCATCACCGTGTGGAGAGAATGACACAATATCTGTAAAAGTGCGCTATATATATAAACATGACTTTCTCACTTTGTTTCAGGGTGAACTCTGACTCCGCCCTCCACCAGAGCACGCTGCCTCCCACCCAGCAGAGCTTCACGGGGGGCTCTCAGGAGATGCAGCCCAAGAGAGGTACTCGCTCTCGGCCTGACCTTTTACAAGAAACCTGCTGAAATGGTTTTTGATTGCTGCTCAGAGCCACTTAGCGTTACACACTTCATTTCTATAAATGGCTGCTCACTTAAAGGACACACGATTGGACCAAAACAATGTTCCCTCATCAGACCGAGTCCATCTTCACCGAGGGGCGCGAGCACTTTAGCAAACGGCCGCTACTTTTACAGCAACCTGTGAGACCTCTATGTACTGATTTAAGGTGTGTGTGTGTGTGTGTGTGTGTGTGTCAGATAATCAAACAGTTCAAATACAAGAAATGCAATTAAAAAAACACATAGTCCCTGCTCAAAAAGGTCCATGAGCATGTGCGCTGATATACTTGCAATACCACTCCTAGCCAGTGGGGGTGTAGCATGGATCGATTATAATAACTGGATAGGGTATTACTAGCTTGGAGCTGAAGAACCCACATGCTCGGGGGATTCTCGCGGTACTGCAGACTAAACCAGACTGAATTCACGTGGGCTACCCAGAAATGTTCCACCATAGAACTCAATGTTAACTAAAACAGCTCGACCTCAGCTGACAGAGGACGTGACAGAGAACGTGACGGAGAACGTGACAGAGAACGTGACAGAGGACGTGACAGAGGACGTGACAGAGGACGTGACAGAGGACGTGACAGAGGACGTGACAGAGAACGTGACAGAGGACGTGACAGAGGACGTGACAGAGGACGTGACAGAGAACGTGACAGAGGACGTGACGGAGGACGTGACAGAGAACGTGACGGAGGACGTGACGGAGAACGTGACAGAGAACGTGACAGAGAACGTGACAGAGGACGTGACAGAGGACGTGACAGAGAACGTGACAGAGGACGTGACAGAGGACGTGACAGAGGACGTGACAGAGGACCTGACAGAGGAACGTGACAGAGGACGTGACAGAGGACGTGACAGAGGACGTGACAGAGGACGTGACAGAGGACGTGACAGAGGACGTGACAGAGGACGTGACAGAGGACCTGACAGAGGAACGTGACGGAGGACGTGACAGAGGACGTGACGGAGAACGTGACAGAGAACGTGACGGAGAACGTGACGGAGAACGTGACGGAGAACGTGACGGAGGACGTGACAGAGAACGTGACAGAGGACGTGACAGAGAACGTGACAGAGAACGTGACAGAGAACGTGACAGAGGACGTGACAGAGAACGTGACAGAGAGCCCCTCTGTGCTCGTGCATCAGAGCTACCCACGTGTATTTGGCGCAAAGCATCATGGGAGTTCATCCACTGCGCAAAACCGGGAGGACCAGAAGATGCCGAAATATGAGTTCCAATAATCTTTCGGTCCCTGTGGTGGCACATGACCTACTGAGCACAGGCTGCCATCCTGGATCACCGGGGCTTGGGGTGGACCCGGAAAGAGACTTATTCAATGTTCAGAATGCTACAAAAGTCATTCTCGACCCAAAGCTCCGTTCCACATGTGTGTCAATGCTGAGGGGAGTATATCTTTGGACCAGTCTAGTTTAGTCGCAATAGAATTTTGGACTCGTCAAATGAACAGGGCTTGTGCAGAAAACACATGCGAAAATGCGTCTTTTCAAATTATCTTGTGTGTGTGTGTGTCTGTCTGTGTGTGTGTGTGTATCTGTGTGTCTGTGTGTGTGCGTATCTGTGTGTGTGTGTGTCTGTCTGTGTGTGTGTGTGTCTGTCTGTGTCTGTGTATGTCTGTCTGTGTGTGTGTATCTGTGTGTGTGTGTGTCTGTCTGTGTGTGTGTGTGTGTGTATCTGTGTGTCTGTGTGTGTGTATGTCTGTCTGTGTGTGTGTATCTGTGTGTCCGTGTGTGTGCGTGTGTCTGTCTGTGTGTGTATCTGTGTGTCTGTGTGTGTGCGTATCTGTGTGTATCTGTGTGTCTGTGTGTGTCTGTGTGTGTTTGTGTGTCTCTGTGTGTCTCTGTGTGTATCTGTGTGTCTGTGTGTCTCTGTGTGTGTCTGTGTGTCTCTGTGTGTGTCTGTGTGTCTCTGTGTGTGTCTGTGTGTCTCTGTGTATCTGTGTGTGTGTGTATCTGTGTATCTGTGTGTCCGTGTGTGTGCGTGTGTCTGTCTGTGTGTGTATCTGTGTGTCTGTGTGTCTCTGTGTATCTGTGTGTGTGCGTATCTGTGTGTATCTGTGTGTCTGTGTGTCTGTGTGTCTCTGTGTGTGTCTGTGTGTCTCTGTGTGTGTCTGTGTGTCTCTGTGTCTCTGTGTGTGTCTGTGTGTCTCTGTGTGTCTCTGTGTATCTGTGTGTATCTGTGTGTCTGTGTGTCTGTGTGTCTCTGTGTGTGTCTGTGTGTCTCTGTGTGTGTCTGTGTGTCTCTGTGTCTCTGTGTGTGTCTGTGTGTCTCTGTGTCTCTGTGTGTGTCTGTGTGTCTCTGTGTGTATCTGTGTGTATCTGTGTATCTGTGTGTGTGTGTGTATCTGTAGTGTCAAAAGCACTTTCTCTATCGCTGTCATACAAATGGATAATACTAAAACAGACCCATGTTTTGGTGCAGTCTGTGGCAGAGTAGAGGCTCTTTAGGCGTCAGAGGAAACAGATCAGACTCCAACAGCGTTCAACAGAAATCCAACTGTTAGAGGCAGAATCTGAGATGTTTTGGACAGCTCTGAGGCCGACGTGCACTGGGGCTGCAAGAAGTGATGAAAAATAAGTCAGAAGTTGCTCAACTGTTGCAAAATGTATCTTAATTTGAGCACATTCTGACCGAGCTTTAAAACAAGAATTGGTAAATCCTGCATGAGCTCAGGTACCATTATTATAAAGTGTTTCCGAAACTAAACTAAATGACTGAGAATCTTGTTTTAATTCAGTCAGAATGTGCTCAGATTGAGATAATAACGTACACACACAAAAACATGATAATAAGTGCTGATAATGATAATGATTTAATTTAAAAAAAAGTTTTATAAACATATACATACAACTAATACACACACACATGCACAGACACAGACGCACACACATGCAGAGATACACACACACAAATTCTTGTAACTCTCTCTGGTCTCTCTCTCTGGTCTCTCGCTCTGGTCTCTCTCTCTCTCTCTCTGGTCTCTCTCTGGTCTCTCTCTGGTCTCTCGCTCTGGTCTCTCTCTCTCTCTCTGGTCTCTCTCTGGTCTCTCTGGTCTCTCTCTCTCTCTCTCTGGTCTCTCTCTGGTCTCTCTCTGGTCTCTCTCTCTAGTCTCTCTCTGGTCTCTCTCTCTGGTCTCTCTCTGGTCTCGCTCTGGTCTCTCGCTCTGGTCTCTCTCTCTGGTCTCTCTCTGGTCTCTCGCTCTGGTCTCTCGCTCTGGTCTCTCGCTCTGGTCTCTCGCTCTGGTCTCTCGCTCTGGTCTCTCGCTCTGGTCTCTCGCTCTGGTCTCTCTCTCTGGTCTCTCTCTGGTCTCTCGCTCTGGTCTCTCGCTCTGGTCTCTCTCTCTGGTCTCTCTCTCTGGTCTCTCTCTCTGGTCTCTCGCTCTGGTCTCTCTCTCTAGTCTCTCTCTCTGGTCTCTCTCTCTGGTCTCTCGCTCTGGTCTCGCTCTGGTCTCTCTCTCTGATCTCTCGCTCTGGTCTCTCGCTCTGGTCTCTCTCTCTGGTCTCGCTCTAGTCTCTCTCTCTGGTCTCTCTCTCTGGTCTCCCTCTGGTCTCTCTCTGGTCTCTCGCTCTGGTCTCTCTCTCTCTCTCTCTGGTCTCCCTCTGGTCTCTCTGGTCTCTCTCTCTGGTCTCTCGCTCTGGTCTCTCGCTCTGGTCTCTCTCTCTGGTCTCTCGCTCTGGTCTCTCCCTCTGGTCTCTCTCTCTGGTCTCTCTCTCTGGTCTCTCGCTCTGGTCTCTCGCTCTGGTCTCTCTCTCTGGTCTCCCTCTGGTCTCTCTGGTCATGTCTATAATTGTAAATCTGTGTTTCCAGTGCTGCTGCTGAACGTTCCAGACGGATTCAAACAGGAATCTGAAGAAGACTCACAGAACTGGGATTGCAAAAAGGTATTTTCTAACGGACGCTCTCTCTTTCTGTGGGGATTGAATTGATCAAACTGAAGGTTTTCGAGTCTGATTCTAAAGCCATGTTTTTTTTTCCTGCAGAATTTTTCAAGGTCTAAAGTTCCTGGAATACAGTGAGTCTCCGAACGCACCACACGAGCATGACTCTGGTCTCGTTCTGGTCTCTTTCTCTAGTATCTCTCTAGTATCTCTCTGATCTATTACTGTGCCCTCTGGTCTCTCTCTCTGGTCTCTCTCTGGTCTCTCACTCTGGTCTCTCTCTGGTCTCTCACTCTGGTCTCTCTCTGTTCCCTCTTGTGTCTCTGATCTCTCTGGTGTCTCTCTCTCTGTCTCTGGTCTCTCTCTTGTCTCTCTCCAGTCTTACTCTGGTCCCTCGTTCTGGTCTCTCTCTGTGGTCTCTCTCTCTGGTCTCTCACTCTGGTCTCTCTCTGTTCCCTCTTGTGTCTCTGATCTCTCTGGTGTCTCTCTCTCTGTCTCTGGTCTCTCTCTTGTCTCTCTCCAGTCTTACTCTGGTCTCTCTCTCTGGTCTGTCTCTGGTCTCTCTCTCTGGTCTCTCTCTCTGGTCTCTCTCTCTGGTCTCTCTCTCTGGTCTCTCGTTCTGGTCTCTCTCTGTGGTCTCTCTCTCTGGTCTCTCTCTCTGGTCTGTCTCTGGTCTCTCCCTCTGTTCCCACTCTGGTCTCTCTCTGTAGATGGGGTGCACCTTTATAATCCAGAAAGGATTTTTATGACAGAGTTAATTTATCCAGCTTGAGCCTATGTGTTTTTTCGACTTTCTCCCCTGTGTGTGTCTGTGTGTGTGTCTCTGTGTGTGTTTGTGTGTGTGTCTGTGTGTGTGTCTCTGTGTGTGTCTGTAGCATATTCCCGTCTCCGGAGCAGCAGTTGACCCACTCCCTCAAACCCGCGGCCCACAACACGGGGGGTTCTCTGCCGGACCTGACTAACCTGCAGTTCCCGCCTCCTCTGCCCACTCCGCTGGACTCTGAGGAGACCGGCTCCTACGGCAGCTTACACTCTCTCAGCACACACCAAGGTACCACAGCCTCCTGCAGACCCAGCTCCAGACCCAGCTCTAGACCCAGCTCTAGACCCTGCAGACCCAGCTCCAGACCCAGCTCTAGACCCAGCTCTAGACCCTGCAGACCCAGCTCCAGACCCAGCTCCAGACCCAGCTCCAGACCCAGCTCCAGACCCAGCTCTACACCCAGCAGACCCAGCTCCAGACCCAGCTCTAGACCCAGCAGACCCAGCTCCAGACCCAGCTCCAGACCCAGCTCTAGACCCAGCTCTAGACTCTGCAGACCCAGCTCCAGACCCAGCTCTAGACCCTGCAGACCCAGCTCCAGACCTCACTTATGTTAATACTAATCTAACAGCAAGAGTAGATGTGTTTTTGTTTAGTTTTAACTGTGTAATTTATTTTTTATTTTTGGGGTATAAATATTGATTTTTCCTGTTTAATATAACATTTTAAAGTATGTAATTTATAAGATTGTGAGATTCTGATCTGGTCTCTGGTCCCTCTCTTCTCTCTTTCTCTGGTCTCTCTCTCTGGTCTCTCTCTGGTCTCCCTCTAGTGTCTCTCTGGTCTCTCTGGTCGCTCTCTGGTCTCCCTCTGCTCTCTCTGGTCTCTCCCTCGTATCTCTCGCTCTGGTCTCTCGCTCTGGTCTCTTGCTCTGGTCTCTTGCTCTGGTCTCTCGCTCTGGTCTCTCTCTCTGGTCTCTCTGGTCTCCCTCTAGTGTCTCTCTCTGGCCTCTCTCTCTGGTCTCTCTGGTCTCCCTCTAGTGTCTCTCTCTGGTCTCTCTCTGGTCTCTCTGGTCTCTCCCTCGTATCTCTCTCTCTAGTCTCTCTCTCTGGTCTCTCGCTCTGGTCTCTCTCTCTGGTCTCTCTCTCTGGTCTCTCGCTCTGGTCTCTCTCTCTGGTCTCTCCCTCTGGTCTCTCTCTCTGGTCTCTCTGGTCTCTCCCTCTAGTCCTTCTCTCTGGTCTCTCCATCTAGTCTCTCTCTCTGGTCTCTCCCTCTGGTCTCTCTCTCTGGTCTCTCTCTCTGGTCTCTCGCTCTGGTCTCTCTCTCTGGTCTCTCCCTCTGGTCTCTCTCTCTGGTCTCTCTCTCTTATCTCCCTCTGGTCTCTCTAGTCTCTCCCTCTGGTCTCTCTAGTCTCTCCCTCTGGTCTCTCCCTCTAGTCCTTCTCTCTAGTCTCTCCCTCTGGTCTCTCTAGTCTCTCCCTCTGGTCTCTCCCTCTAGTCCTTCTCTCTAGTCTCTCCCTCTGGTCTCTCCCTCTAGTCCTTCTCTCTAGTCTCTCCCTCTGGTCTCTCTCTCTGGTCTCTCTAGTCTCTCCCTCTGGTCTCTCCCTCTAGTCCTTCTCTCTAGTCTCTCCCTCTGGTCTCTCCCTCTAGTCCTTCTCTCTAGTCTCTCCCTCTGGTCTCTCCCTCTAGTCCTTCTCTCTAGTCTCTCCCTCTGGTCTCTCTCTCTGGTCTCTCCCTTTAGTCCTTTTCTCTGGTCTCTCCCTCTGGTCTCTCTCTGGTCTTTCAGTGTTGCATCACCAGATAAATGAACAAAAATACTTTCTCCTTTAACATAACATAATAAAGAAGTAAATAAAACATCCTTAGCTTTAACAAAATAAAAAATAACACAATAATTTAATAATTTAAGAATGGAATAAATCTGACTCTGACTTTATGGTTTTAAAATCTCTCGTCCCGACGACTTGTTCGGATCTGTAGGAGTGAACGCCTCTCAGCCCGCCGCGGTCGCCATGGAAACGCAGAGGCAGCCGGACATGCTCCCTCTGATGCTGAGCGCTGCAGAGACGCAGCAGCAGCTGTCCCCCACGTCGCCCCCTCTCTCCCTGTCCCAGGTACTGCACGCCTGTTGCCATGGCGATTGTCCCTGTTTTGTTTGATATGTTGTGTTTTTGTTAGTATGATGTAAAAGGTGAGAGCCGAGAGGGAGAGACCAGAGAGGGAGAGACCAGAGAGGGAGAGACCAGAGAGGGAGAGACCAGAGAGGGAGAGACCACAGAGAGGGAGAGACCACAGAGAGGGAGAGACCACAGAGAGGGAGAGACCAGAGAGGGAGAGACCAGAGAGGGAGAGACCAGAGAGGGAGAGACCAGAGAGGGAGAGACCAGAGAGGGAGAGACCAGAGAGGGAGAGACCAGAGAGGGAGAGACCAGAGAGGGAGAGACCAGAGAGGGAGAGACCAGAGATGGAGAGACCAGAGATGGAGAGACCAGAGAGGGAGAGACCAGAGAGGGAGAGACCAGAGAGGGAGAGACCAGAGAGGGAGAGACCAGAGAGGGAGAGACCAGAGAGGGAGAGACCAGAGAGGGAGAGACCACAGAGAGGGAGAGACCACAGAGAGGGAGAGACCACAGAGAGGGAGAGACCACAGAGAGGGAGAGACCACAGAGAGGGAGAGACCACAGAGAGGGAGAGACCACAGAGAGGGAGAGACCACAGAGAGGGAGAGACCACAGAGAGGGAGAGACCACAGAGAGGGAGAGACCACAGAGAGGAGAGACCACAGAGAGGGAGAGACCACAGAGAGGGAGAGACCACAGAGAGGGAGAGACCAGAGAGGGAGAGACCAGAGAGGGAGAGACCAGAGAGGGAGAGACCAGAGAGGGAGAGACCAGAGAGGAGAGACCAGAGAGGGAGAGACCAGAGAGGGAGAGACCAGAGAGGGAGAGACCAGAGAGGGAGAGACCAGAGAGGGAGAGACCAGAGAGGGAGAGACCAGAGAGGGAGAGACCAGAGAGGGAGAGACCAGAGAGGGAGAGACCAGAGAGGGAGAGACCAGAGAGGGAGAGACCAGAGAGGGCGAGACCAGAGAGGGCGAGACCAGAGAGGGCGAGACCACAGAGAGGGAGAGACCACAGAGAGGGAGAGACCACAGAGAGGGAGAGACCACAGAGAGGGAGAGACCACAGAGAGGGAGAGACCACAGAGAGGGAGAGACCACAGAGAGGGAGAGACCACAGAGAGGGAGAGACCACAGAGAGGGAGAGACCACAGAGAGGGAGAGACCACAGAGAGGGAGAGACCAGAGAGCGAGAGACCAGAGAGGCGAGAGACCAGAGAGCGAGAGACCAGAGAGCGAGAGACCAGAGAGCGAGAGACCAGAGAGCGAGACACCAGAGAGCGAGACACCAGAGAGCGAGACACCAGAGAGCGAGACACCAGAGAGCGAGACACCAGAGAGCGAGAGACCAGAGAGCGAGAGACCAGAGAGCGAGAGACCAGAGAGCGAGAGACCAGAGAGCGAGAGACCAGAGAGCGAGAGACCAGAGAGCGAGAGACCAGAGAGCGAGAGACCAGAGAGCGAGAGACCAGAGAGCGAGAGACCAGAGAGCGAGAGACCAGAGAGCGAGAGACCAGAGAGCGAGAGACCAGAGAGCGAGAGACCAGAGAGCGAGAGACCAGAGAGCGAGAGACCAGAGAGCGAGAGACCAGAGAGCGAGAGACCAGAGAGCGAGAGACCAGAGAGAGAGAGAGCAGAGAGAGACCAGAGAGAGACCAGAGAGAGAGACCAGAGAGCGAGAGACCAGAGAGCGAGAGACCAGAGAGCGAGAGACCAGAGAGCGAGAGACCAGAGAGCGAGAGACCAGAGAGCGAGAGACCAGAGAGCGAGAGACCAGAGAGCGAGAGACCAGAGAGGGAGAGACCAGAGAGGGAGAGACCAGAGAGGGAGAGACCAGAGAGGGAGAGACCAGAGAGGGAGAGACCAGAGAGGGAGAGACCAGAGAGGGAGAGACCAGAGAGGGAGAGACCAGAGAGGGAGAGACCAGAGAGGGAGAGACCAGAGATGGAGAGACCAGAGATGGAGAGACCAGAGATGGGAGAGACCAGAGAGGGAGAGACCACAGAGAGGGAGAGACCACAGAGAGGGAGAGACCACAGAGAGGGAGAGACCACAGAGAGGGAGAGACCACAGAGAGGGAGAGACCACAGAGAGGGAGAGACCACAGAGAGGGAGAGACCACAGAGAGGGAGAGACCACAGAGAGGGAGAGACCACAGAGAGGGAGAGACCACAGAGAGGGAGAGACCAGAGAGGGAGAGACCAGAGAGGGAGAGACCAGAGAGGGAGAGACCAGAGAGGGAGAGACCAGAGAGGGAGAGACCAGAGAGGGAGAGACCAGAGAGGGAGAGACCAGAGAGGGAGAGACCAGAGAGGGAGAGACCAGAGAGGGAGAGACCAGAGAGGGCGAGACCAGAGAGGGCGAGACCACAGAGAGGGAGAGACCACAGAGAGGGAGAGACCACAGAGAGGGAGAGACCACAGAGAGGGAGAGACCACAGAGAGGGAGAGACCACAGAGAGGGAGAGACCACAGAGAGGGAGAGACCACAGAGAGGGAGAGACCACAGAGAGGGAGAGACCACAGAGAGGGAGAGACCACAGAGGGAGAGACCAGAGAGCGAGACACCAGAGAGCGAGACACCAGAGAGCGAGACACCAGAGAGCGAGACACCAGAGAGCGAGAGACCAGAGAGCGAGAGACCAGAGAGCGAGAGACCAGAGAGCGAGAGACCAGAGAGCGAGAGACCAGAGAGCGAGAGACCAGAGAGCGAGAGACCAGAGAGCGAGAGACCAGAGAGACCAGAGAGCGAGAGACCAGAGAGGCCAGAGAGGGAGAGACCAGAGAGGCCAGAGAGACCAGAGACCAGAGAGACCAGAGAGGGAGAGACCAGAGAGGGAGAGACCAGAGAGGGAGAGACCAGAGAGGGAGAGACCAGAGAGGGAGAGACCACAGAGAGGGAGAGACCACAGAGAGGGAGAGACCACAGAGAGGGAGAGACCACAGAGAGGGAGAGACCACAGAGAGGGAGAGACCACAGAGAGGGAGAGACCAGAGAGAGGGAGAGACCAGAGAGGGAGAGAGACGAGACCAGAGAGGGAGAGAGACCAGACCAGAGAGGGAGAGAGACCAGACCAGAGAGGGAGAGACCAGAGAGGGAGAGACCAGAGAGGGAGAGACCAGACCAGAGAGGGAGAGAGACCAGACCAGAGAGGGAGAGAGACCAGCGAGTGGGCACTTGTCAGAGCAGTTGATAAATTTGACTGTTTTTATGGAGTTGTTTACCGCTGAAGAGTGAGACTGTGACCTCATCCATATTGATGAAGACGAGGATGAGTTGTGATTGACAGCTCCTGGAGGAAGAGCTCCTTTTGAATCTCAATCTGTGGCGTCTTTGGAACGAGAATATAGTTTAATGACGCAGCAGTTTTCTTTTTCAAATATTATGAACATAGAATAGAATAAGGACTACAGCGTTAGTTTCATTTCTGCCTGTGGTCTCTCCAGGTCTGGACTCGTTCTACAGTCTGAGTCCTGTGCCTCTCTCCTCCAGAGAGAGAGAGAGAGGCCAGAGCGAGAGAGACCCGAGTGAGAGAGAGACCCGAGTGAGCGAGAGACCCGAGTGAGCGAGAGAGACCCGAGTGAGCGAGAGACCCGAGTGAGCGAGAGACCCGAGTGAGCGAGAGACCCGAGTGAGCGAGAGACCCGAGTGAGCGAGAGACCCGAGTGAGAGAGAGACCCGAGTGAGCGAGAGACCCGAGTGAGCGAGAGAGATCCGAGTGAGCGAGAGAGATCCGAGTGAGCGAGAGAGACCCGAGTGAGCGAGAGAGACCCGAGTGAGCGAGAGAGACCCGAGTGAGCAAGAGACCCGAGTGAGCGAGAGAGACCCGAGTGAGCGAGAGAGACCCGAGTGAGCGAGAGAGATCCGAGTGAGCGAGAGAGATCCGAGTGAGCGAGAGAGATCCGAGTGAGCGAGAGAGATCCGAGTGAGCGAGAGAGACCCGAGTGAGCGAGAGAGACCCGAGGTGAGCAAGAGACCCGAGTGAGCGAGAGAGACCAGAGCGAGAGAGAGACCAGAGCGAGAGACCAGAGCGAGAGAGAGAGACCCGAGTGAGCGAGAGACCCGAGTGAGCGAGAGACCCGAGTGAGCGAGAGACCCGAGTGAGCGAGAGAGACCCGAGTGAGCGAGAGAGACCCGAGTGAGCGAGAGAGACCCGAGTGAGCGAGAGAGACCCGAGTGAGCGAGAGACCCGAGCGAGCGAGAGAGACCAGAGCGAGAAAGAGAGACCAGAGTGAGAGAGAGAGACCAGAGCAAGAGAGAGAGGCCAGACAGAGAGATAACAGAGAGAGAGAGAGAGGCCACAGCGAGAGAGGCCAGAGCGAGAGAGACCCGAGTGAGAGAGAGACCCGAGTGAGAGAGAGACCCGAGTGAGAGAGAGACCCGAGTGAGAGAGAGACCCGAGTGAGAGAGAGACCCGAGTGAGCGAGAGACCCGAGTGAGCGAGAGGCCAGAGAGAGAGATAACAGGAGACCAGAGAATCTAGGACTTTCCTCATGAGTCTGTCGCTGTCTCTGACCTGGACGTTGTGTCTTTATGGTCCGTTGTGTCTTTATGGTCCATTGTGTCTTTATGGTCCGTTGTGTCTTTATGGTCCATTGTGTCTTTATGGTCCTCAGGCTGCGATCAACGCTATGAACCTGGAGCAGCAGTTGTCGCAGTATGCCTTCTTCAGCCAACTTTACTCTGCCCCGACGCTGCAGAACCAAGTCAGACACACTTTACTACTGCGCAATTATTCACTCACACAGACGTTAATGATCTTTTATATATCCATTAAAGCTGGGGTACCTGACTTTTTACTCAGAAATTACTCATGTGGTTCGTCCCAACAGAAAGAGTGGTGTTGTGAATATATTAAACCACAACATGCTGTTTTTATATTATTGGGAAAATGTTTGCGTACTTGGAGCCCTTTGAGTTTGAGGGCTGATTGGCTGAGAGCTGATTGGCTGAGAGCTGATTGGCTGAGAGCTGATTGGCTGAGAGCTGATTGGCTGAGAGCTGATTGGCTTGAGAGCTGATTGGCTGAGAGCTGATTGGCTGAGAGCTGATTGGCTGAGAGCTGATTGGCTGAGAGCTGATTGGCTGAGAGCTGATTGGCTTGAGAGCTGATTGGCTTGAGAGCTGATTGGCTTGAGAGCTGATTGGCTGAGAGCTGATTGGCGTGAGAGCTGATTGGCTGAGAGCTGATTGGCTGCTAGCTGATTGGCTGAGAGCTGATTGGCTGAGAGCTGATTGGCTGAGAGCTGATTGGCGTGAGAGCTGATTGGCTGCTAGCTGATTGGCTGAGAGCTGAGAGCTGATTGGCTGAGAACTGATTGCCTTGAGAGCTGATTGGCTGCTAAAAGCTGGTCTCAATAAAGTATGTGACAAAAAAACATGCATGTGAAAACTAGACATGAGTTAAAATTGTTGTGGATTTAAGTTTTGTGTGTTTTTTACTCAGAGAAGCTCGAGGATTTCTATCTGTCCTCTTCAACTTCCAGTGGAACTTCAATAATCTAATCTGAATTTAATTTTAAAATAGACGAAAGATAGAATGATATTTTAATGTTGTGGTTTCTCGTTAACCTTCTCTCTCATCTTTCCCCCTCTCTCTCCCCTCTCTCTTCTCTCTCTTTCTCCCCTCTCTCTTCCCCTCTTCCCCCTCTCTTTCTCCTCTCTCTCCCCCTCTTTCTCCGCCTCTCTCTCACCTCTCCCCTCTCTCCCCCCTCTCTCTCTCCCCTCTCTCTTCCTCTCTCCCTCTCTCCCTTCTCTGGACTCTCTCTCTCCCCCCTCTCTCTCCTCTCTCTCCTCTCCCCCTCTTCCTCTCCCCCTCTCTCCCCTCTCTCTCCTCTCTCTCCTCTCCCCCTCTCTCCCCTCTCCCTCTCTCTCCTCTCCCCCTCCTCCTCTCCCCTCTCTCCTCTCTCTCTCTCCTCTCTCCTCTCTCCCCTCTCTCTCTCTTCCCCTCTTCTCTCCCCCCTCATCTCTCTCTCCCTCTCTCCTCTCTCCCCCTCTCCTCTCTCTCTCCTCTCCCCTCTCTCCTCCCTCTCTCTCCCCTCTCTCTCCTCTCTACCCTGCTCCCCTCTCTCCCCTCTCTCTCCTCTCTCTCTTCTCTCCCCTCTCCTCTCTCCCCTCTCTCTCTCCTCTCTACCCTCTCTTTCCTCTCTCTCTCCTCTCCCCTCGCGCTCCCCCCTCTCCTCCCTCTCCCCCTCCTCTCCGCTCTCTCGCTCTCCCCCTCTCTCCCTCCTCCTCCCCCCTCTCTCCCCTGCAGCAGACAGGTTTGGTCCAGATGTCATCCTTGACCTCCCCCACAGAGAACCAGAGCTCTCACCAGAACAACATGACCATCGACATGAACATGGTACGACCCTCTGGCCTTCGCTCCTAACCTTAGATTTCATATTTACTTTAAAGCATCTACAAAAAAATCAATCTGCAATACACAAACAATACCTCGGGGATGAGAGATCGGGCTGAGCGTGGCTGCAATTACTCTGGAACACAAGTATATCATTTATTAACGGATATTTATTAAGGATTTATTTGTCCGGGCTCAAGTTAGGACTGGTCTAGAGTCAGGACTGGTCTAGAGTCAGGACTGGTCTAGAGTCAGGACTTGTCTAGAGTCAGGACTGGTCTAGAGTCAGGACTGGTCTAGAGTCAGGACTTGTCTAGAGTCAGGACTGGTCTAGAGTCAGGACTGGTCTAGAGTCAGGACTGGTCTAGAGTCAGGACTGGTCTAGGGAGCGGGAGGCCAGAGAGAGCGGGAGGCCAGAGAGAGAGGCCAGAGAGAGAGAGAGGCCAGAGAGAGAGAGGCCAGAGAGAGAGGGAGGCCAGAGAGAGAGGGAGGCCAGAGAGAGAGGGAGGCCAGAGAGAGAGGGAGGCCAGAGAGAGAGGGAGGCCAGAGAGAGAGGGAGGCCAGAGAGAGAGGGAGGCCAGAGAGAGAGGCCAGAGAGAGAGAGGCCAGAGAGAGAGAGAGGCCAGAGAGAGAGAGAGGCCAGAGAGAGAGAGAGGCCAGAGAGAGAGAGAGGCCAGAGAGAGAGAGAGGCCAGAGAGAGAGGGAGGCCAGAGAGAGAGGGAGGCCAGAGAGAGAGGGAGGCCAGAGAGAGAGGGAGGCCAGAGAGAGAGGGAGGCCAGAGAGAGAGGGAGGCCAGAGAGAGAGGGAGGCCAGAGAGAGAGGGAGGCCAGAGAGAGAGGGAGGCCAGAGAGAGAGGGAGGCCAGAGAGAGAGGGAGGCCAGAGAGAGAGGGAGGCCAGAGAGAGAGGGGAGGCCAGAGAGAGAGGGAGGCCAGAGAGAGGGAGGCCAGAGAGAGAGGGAGGCCAGAGAGAGAGGGAGGCCAGAGAGAGAGAGAGGCCAGAGAGAGAGGCCAGAGAGAGAGGGAGAGGCCAAAGAGAGAGGGAGGCCAGAGAGAGAGAGAGGCCAGAGAGAGAGAGAGGCCAGAGAGAGAGAGAGGCCAGAGAGAGAGAGAGGCCAGAGAGAGAGAGAGGCCAGAGAGAGGCCAGAGAGAGAGAGGCCAGAGAGAGAGAGGCCAGAGAGAGAGAGGCCAGAGAGAGAGAGAGGCCAGAGAGAGAGAGAGGCCAGAGAGAGAGGGAGGCCAGAGAGAGAGGCCAGAGAGAGAGGCCAGAGAGAGAGAGGCCAGAGAGAGCGGGAGGCCAGAGAGAGAGAGAGGCCAGAGAGAGAGAGGCCAGAGAGAGAGAGAGGCCAGAGAGAGAGAGGCCAGAGAGAGCGGGAGGCCAGAGAGAGAGAGAGGCCAGAGAGATATGAAATAACTTTTAATACAAACTTATATTGTCAATTCAGTTCAATTCAAATAACTTTATTAATCCGTGAGGAACTTTATTTTCAGACAGAGCACCAGTGGGGTTACATAAAAACACAGAAATACAAGATCTAAATATAAATACAGTAAAAGAGCAGAAATGCAAATTACAGTGCCTTGCGAAAGTATTCGGCCCCCTTGAACCTTTCAACATTTCGCCACATTTCAGGCTTCAAACATAAAGATATAAAATTTTAATTTTTTGTCATGAATCAACAACAAGTGGGACACAATCGTGAAGTGGAACGAAATTTATTGGATAATTTAAACTTTTTTAACAAATAAAAAACTGAAAAGTGGAGCGTGCAATATTATTCGGCCCCTTTACTTTCAGTGCAGCAAACTCAGTCCAGAAGTTCAGTGAGGATCTTTGAATGATCCAATGTTGTCCTAAATGACTGATGATGATAAATAGAATGCACCTGTGTGTAATCAAGTCTCCGTATAAATGCACCTGCTCTTTGATAGTCTCAGGGTTCTGTTTAAAGCGCAAAAAGATTTCCCAAGCACTGTGCAAGCAGTTATATTGAAATGGAAGGAGTATCAGACCACTGCAAATCTACCAAGACCCGGCCGTCCCTCCAAACTTTAATCTCAAACAAGGAGAAGACTGATCAGAGATGCAGCCAAGAGGCCCATGATCACTCTGGATGAACTGCAGATAACTACAGCTGAGGTGGGAGAGTCTGTCCATAGGACAACAATCAGTCGTGCACTGCACAAATCTGGCCTTTATGGAAGAGTGGCAAGAAGAAAGCCATTTCTCAAAGATATCCATAAAAAGTCTCGTTTAAAGTTTGCCACAAGCCACCTGGGAGACACACCAAACATGTGGAAGAAGGTGCTCTGGTCAGATGAAACCAAAATCAAACTTTTTGGCCACAATGCAAAACGATATCCATCCCTGATCACCCTGAACACACCATCCACCACCATCCTCTTCTGGACTGAGTCTGAGAATCGTCTTCAATTGGTGCAAAATGCTGCAGCTCGTTTTTTAACAAACACTCCCAGACGTCAGCACATCACCCCAGTCCTTTTTTCTTTACATTGGCTTCCAGTTTCTTTTAGAGTTGATTTTAAAATTCTTCTTTTTGTTTTTAAAGCCCTCAATGGTCCTGCCCCTTCATACCTGTCTGAACTTTTGACTATTCGTGACTCGGGCAGGTCCTTGAGGTCGTCAAATCAGCTCTTGCTGGAAGTGCCTAGGACCAGGTCCAAGCGTTGGGGTGATCGGTCCTTTTCAGTCGCTGGACCCAGACTCTGGAATAAGCTGCCCCCTGAAGTGCGCACCATCACTGATCTTGGCCTTTTTAAATCCAGGCTCAAGACACATTTATTCAGACTGGCTTTTAACATTCAGTAGCACGGCAACACTTTTTTATCTTACTGTTTTATTTTTATTTTTGTTTGAATGAATGTTTTTAATGCATTTTATGTGATTTTATTGTAAAGCACTTTGGTCACCTTGAGTGTTGTAAAGGGCTCTATAAATAAAATTTGATTGATTGATTGATTGCTGCACTGAAAGTAAAGGGGCCGAATAATATTGCACGCCCCACTTTTCAGTTTTTTATTTGTTAAAAAAGTTTAAATTATCCAATAAATTTCGTTCCACTTCACGATTGTGTCCCACTTGTTGTTGATTCATGACAAAAAATTAAAATTTTATATCTTTATGTTTGTAGCTTGAAATATGGCGAAATGTTGAAAGGTTCAAGGGGGCCGAATACTTTCGCAAGGCACTGTAAAATACTTAAAACAGGTTTCCAAATCAGCTGTTTGCGGAATTGAGGCGGGGAGGAAGCTGGATGCGGCACTTTTTGTTTTGAATGGGAGGGATCATAACTGAGATCATTTTATCTTTTAATTCACACACAACAAAAACATTCAGTATTTACATCATATTACAATAAATCAAGTTTTCAATAGATTTTCTGTACTTTAAAAGGTTTGGTGGTTTTTAAATTTTGTCTATTTTTATCTGAGCACAGCGAGTCCTCGACGCCCTCTCTCAAATGTGAAACGTGCCAAGGTTAGAGCCATAAGTAGGTCTGTTTATCGCACTGCATCAGAGAGTGTGTGTGTGTGTGTGTGTGTGTGTGTGTGTGTGTGTGTGTACAACATCCAGAATGTTCTAGAACATTAGATCTGATGCTGCGAAACGGATCCATGTTTAACACTAAGACCCCCCCAAATATGTGTTTATAGGGATCGCACTGAAAATCTTAAAATATTAATACATTCTTTGTACACGGAATAGAACTTATTTAGCATAACAAAATGCGTGTATAAAATATGTAGGTTTAGCATAATAAAGAAGCTAGTCTAAAATCTCCAACTTTAGCATATTAAAGAAGCTAGTCTAAAATCTCTAGCTTTAGCATAAAAAAGAAGCTAGTCTAAAATCTCTAGCTTTAGCATAATAAAGAAGCTAGTCTAAAATCTCTAGCTTTAGCATAATAAAGAAGCTAGTCTAAAATCTCTATCTTTAGCATAATAAAGAAGCTAGTCTAAAATCTCCAACTTTAGCATATTAAAGAAGCTAGTCTAAAATCTCTAGCTTTAGCATAATAAAGAAGCTAGTCTAAAATCTCTATCTTTAGCATAATAAAGAAGCTAGTCTAAAATCTCCAACTTTAGCATATTAAAGAAGCTAGTCTAAAATCTCTAGCTTTAGCATAATAAAGAAGCTAGTCTAAAATCTCTAGCTTTAGCATAATAAAGAAGTAAAGAAAATTAAAGGGCTGGATAAATCCTTCGGAAACATAAGAATATTCGTCCTTTTTTATCTTAAATCTTAAAACCAGTGTTGCCAACTCCTCAGTAAGGAAAGTAGCTATTGGCTGTCCCAAAAGTCGCTAGAAGTCGTTAAATGATGTCATCGCCTAATTTGCATAATTGTCAATTTGCATATAACTGTAACGGACGCTGTAGGAGAGAGGAATAACGTCGTGGGAGAGACAAAAGTGAGTAAAAAACACCCTAAATATATTTAGAACTACAAATGTACAACAATAATTTCAACATTAACAACATTTAATGATTTTAATGCTTTGTCTAGATCTGTCGCTAGTCGCTTTTTTGAAAAAAAGTCGCTATAGGGTCTGAAAAGTCGCTAAATCTAGCGACAAAGTCGCTAAGTTGGCAACACTGCTTAAAACATGAATACATTTTGTACACTTAACTTACATACATCAAAACAGTGCCCAATGTTAGCTAAACTTTCAAAGCGGGTTTTTAGTTTTTATATTTTGTAATGTTCTTGCGGCTGCGGTGTGTGAGCCGAGCCGTCCGACATGGTTCTGCAGAGGCTGGTCCCGGGTGAACGTGCTCTGCCTCCAGCAACATGCATTATACATCCATACAAGTTCAAACAGTGTTCTCTGTACAGACACACACACACACACACGCACACACACACACAGACACACACACACACACACACACGCACACACACACACACACAGACACACACACACACACACACACACACACACACACACACACACACTTTCTTCACTAATCAAAACACATACAGAATGAGAAGAAGCCCAAGACAGTTTTGCTGCAGTTCCATGCATTATAGATCAGTCAGAAACAAATATTTTTTCATACTATCTTTGTTTCAGTGGAGTCTATAAAAAATGGCTTGGCTAGATTTGAAATGTCCTCAAAAATACCCTTAATAAAAGCTAGTTAGAGCAAAATGCTGATGATTATACCGAAATTGAGGAACACTCAGACCTCTTTATACTGTATTTTAGGCTATTTTTCTTAAACTTTTAAGTCACTTTGGAAGGTTATTTATTAATATGTATGTTTACACTGCAAAAAGAGATGAAAAATAAGTAAAAGGTTGCTCAAATCTATCGAAGTGCATCTTAATATGAGCACATTCTGATGCCTTAAACGCCTTAAATCAAGATTTGCCAAAAGTACAAAGAAAAATGGTCTTGTTTTAAAGATACAAGAAATGTCTGACTTGGAATGAGAAAATGAAGCAATTCTTGACATAAAACAAAATGGCTTTGTGCCATTGGATGAATCTAGTTTTAAGACTCAGAATGTGATCAAATTAAGATAAAAACCACTAATTCAAGCATTTATTACCTCAGATATTGTCACTTTTCACAGTGTATTTAAATGGTTGTATGAGCCTATAAAACCTCTGTCTATAAAAATGGCTGATTATGGTTTTAAACGACAAAACATTTGAATAATGTGAAATGCAGAGGTCTCATTTGCGAGGCCAGTGGGAGTTTAGAAGCTTAGTATGAGAGAATAAAAGCATGGAAGCCAGGTCAGAACAATCCTCTTGCCAAAAGGGAGACATTTCTAAGGTCCATTTATATAATTAGCTGTTCGGGGAATGTCCCTCACAAAACTAGATCCAGAAAAATCCTACAATTTCATCTCATTGGTCTCATGTTTCACCGACAGTCTATATCATGATTACTAATAATGCTTAATATTTCATGGTTCATTCAACTTTTTTTTGTCCTTGGAGTGAAATTTGTCAGTTAAAAACAGTATTTAAACGTTAAAGAAGGTTCATACAGCGTCCAAAGTGTTTGAAATTGACAAACAGCAGACTCCGCCCAATTCCTCAAATCTACAGGTTAAAACTGGATTCGCCTGAGGAAATGGGTGGAGTCCGGTGTTCTTCTGCCCCACGTTGGAATGAAAACCTGCAGCCACACAGACCCTTTGAGAACCGGTTTGACACAGCCCAACTGCACTAGCTTAAAAACACATATTAGCTGCATCGCTATATAAGCCGCAGGGTCAATGAACTAGACAGAAGTAGCGGCTTATAGAATGAAAATCACAGATATTTGGGGATGTAGGATTGGGGGATTTTTACAAGGACTTTGTGGTGGAAGTGTGGGGGGATTTTAAGGCTTTTGCAAATGATTTTAGACGCATTTTGAAGAAAAAAAATCCGGCCAAGAGGTTCTGAAGAGCTGTGTCTTGTGTCAGTGTCAGGCCTCGTCCCAGTACCGCAACAGAATGGGGTCCTCAGCCAATCAGTCGCCCACGTCCCCCGTCTCCAACCAAGGCTTTTCTCCCGGAGGATCGCCCCAAGTAAGACCCAGCCGGGACTCTCCAAACTGGTTTAGACTGGTTCACACACACACGCACGCTGGACCGGGCTAAACCACTTGGAGCCGGCATTGTGGATCCTGTGGAGTCCAGATTATGTGGCTTCTTTCCCTTCGATAGCTGCTTTTGTGGTTTTGGAAGCAGATCTGGGCCAAATGAGGCAAAATAGGTTGTGTTCATTTGCTAGAATTTAATTGTCATTATTTCAGATTGATGCACATTGATTTGTTTTGACTTTTAAAACAAACCTGGAGTTGTTTTTAGCTCTATCCTTGCTAATATCAGGAACTTCTAGCACAAACATGTAGCTGTAAAATCGTCAGTCTCAGTCCTGTGATAGGATGATGTCATTGTACCTCTATGACATCACACTCAGAGCAGTTTTTTGTCTTCTTAAACCAAAGAAATACATACGTTTTGGCAATTTTTCAAGCGAAAAAACTTTATTTTCAAATTTGGAATAGACTTAAAACTCCCTCTGGTGGTAGCATAGGGAATGACAGGCTGATAGCTTTATTCGCCCTTCATATTGCTTCACACATATTTCCTACTTAATATATTAATTCACATTCAAAAACATACAATGGCAAAGTAAATATTCGCATTATCATTTGTAATGGACAAAATAAAGCATATTATTTCTGCTTTAAGTAAAACTTCAAGTTTGGTATATAATCCATTTTGTGTAATTATCAATAAATTACAGAGATAGAAACCATGTCCAAATTGTCTAATGTTTAAGCAAATTCTGTTGTTTCTTAATTCCAAACTTCCCCTTCTTACATTTTGGGATCTTGTGATGTCACGTGAACACAACCTATAGCCGTATCTTTGAATATTTTACAAAATCATTCTGAAAGTCCAGGTTTGTTAATGCTATTTGCCCAGATCTGAATGCGCCCTCTGGTGTTGTTGGCGTGTATTGCGTACGTTTCAAGCTGTCCTCCCCACAATGTCCCCACAATGTCCCCACAATTTCCCTGCAATGTCCCCACAATGTCCGCGCAATGTTCTCACAATGTCCCTGCAATGTCCGCGCAACGTCTGCGCAATGTCCCTGCAATGTCCGCGCAATGTCCCCGCAATGCCACTGCAATGTCCCCACAATGTCCCCACAATGTCCCCACAATGTCCCCACAATGTTGCGGTCCACTGTGTGTTTTTTCCTGTTTTACCTCGAGCCAAATGTTGTGAGGTTTGTTTGTTGTGCTTCTCTTGCTGATTCTGTCCAGTTTGAAGCTTCTTTGTCGGCTGGCTCCTCTCTGCAGTCTCCTCTCACACACTTATTATTATTATATTATTATTATATCTAGGTATTCTTCTGAGACACGCACTCAGTCACATGGGAGTAGCTCAGAGTGTTTGAAGGGTCTCATCTCAGTCCCAGACGAATAAGTGCAAGAGAAAAAAGTAGAGACCGATTGATCGATCGAGACACTTTTTTGCATGTATTTTATTTTTATATTGGCTTTTGGCCCTAATTCGGAATCAGAATTCAATCAGAAATCACAACAGTCGATTCGCCAAAACAGATCTGAGAATTTGGGGTTAAAACACTGGAAATGTAATTATGAAAAAAATACATAGAGCCATAAAGGCAGATGACCCATGTCCATGAATTTAAAAAAAACATCTATAAGTGAAGAAACAACTCTAAAAACTCAGTGGAAGAAACTGAGAAACCTCGGGGAAGCCCACATTGAGGAAGAGATCCGCTGGCACCGACGGACGGGCTGTAGATCCAGGACTCAGACTGTAGAACGAGGACTGAGGTCACTGCTCTGAACAAGTCTAGAACCGGTCTTGGATCAAGTTAATTAAATAATGTCAAGACTTAAACTACAGATATAAACAAAGTGGCTCAGTCGGTAGGGCATTGGTCCCTGGGCAAGACACTCAACTCCACTTTGCCTGAAGCCCCCGTTGAAAGACCGTCTTCTATGCTGGAGCAGCCATCTTCCCAGTGAGGGGCTGGTGCTTTCAGGACTGAGTGGCAGCTCTGATTCCCACCCCACCGACCCAGAAATGGAAAAATAAAAGGGATGAATAGCAAACATATACACAGGGGGAGTGGACTGCTGGGAGTTCTAGTATCAAGAATGACGGTTCCCACTCTGCTTCAGCCTCATCCCCTCCACAATGGCCTGGTCCGTCTTCTCTCATTCAGCTGATAGAGAGGGGGATGGGGGTCTGCCCGGTGGAGACATGAGCATTTCTCTCTCTTTCATAATTCACTCTCGGTGTGGCCGCTCACGGACCGCACCATGATCCAATTACTCAAACATTACAAGAGAATCCAATCCCATCATCCATTCATGCACCAGGCCTCTGTGGGCGAGACTCGACAAACTTCAGACACTCTCTCACTCGCTGCGGAGACTTTGACGAGGACAAGTGGGATTAGGATTTCTCTGAGTTTGACCATATTTGATTTGGTCGGTGTTGATTAAAACATCAAGGACTGAGGAGGAGCAGAGGGAGAAGGGTTTCAGCAGGAAAGACACTGGTGTGAGGACTTCGCATGGTTAAGTCTAAGGTTCTGTGTCTGGGCCAAGAATCAGAAACGGTTAGAGAGAGAGAGACAGAGAGGGAGACCAGAGAGGGAGACCAGAGAGGGAGACCAGAGAGGGAGACCAGAGAGGGAGACCAGAGAGGGAGACAGAGAGGGAGACAGAGAGGGAGACAGAGAGGGAGACAGAGAGGGAGACAGAGAGGGAGACAGAGAGGGAGACAGAGAGGGAGACAAGAGAGGGAGACCAGAGAGGGAGACCAGAGAGGGAGACCAGAGAGGGAGACCAGAGAGGGAGACCAGAGAGGGAGACCAGAGAGGGAGACCAGAGAGGGAGACCAGAGAGGGAGACAGAGAGGGAGACAGAGAGGGAGACAGAGAGGGAGACCAGAGAGGGAGACCAGAGAGGGAGACCAGAGAGGGAGACCAGAGAGGGAGACCAGAGAGAAAGAAACACAGAAAGAGGGAGAGAGAGAAAAACACACAGAAAGAGACACACAGAAAGAGAGACAGAAAGAGACACACAGAGAGAGAGACACACAGAGAGAGACATAGAAAGAGACAGACACACAGAGAGAGCGAGAGAGACCCACACACACAGAGAGAGAGACACACACAGTGAGAGACACACAGAAAGAGAGACAGAGAGAGATACTTGGATGGATAGATAGATACTTTATGTAGGCGTAACTTTAGGTCAAAGCAGCAGGTGGTAATTTATTCCAAAAGATTATTGATTTGAATATATTTCACAGTGTTAAAATAATCATATTCTGTACTGTACAATCTGTCAGTATGTTCTCAGATGTAGATCAAATAAGATCATTTATGAAGCTCATGTTGTAGATTTCAGTTTCCCGACATGACTTTGCTCTTCAGTCTCTGGTCTCTGTGTTTGTACATTTTTCCTCTTGAGCCAAACGGAGAAACTCGAATAGAAGTGAAAGATAAATGAAAGAGCCTTGATGTTTTCCACTCGGCTCCGGGGGAGAAACTACAAACAAAACCCTTGGATACAAACTTGCTTCTTGCTCACAGAGTTTGACAAGTGTTACTTTGATAACTCTGTGCTCGGCTGACCCCAGATCTGTTGTCTCCTGCAGCATAACTCCATCCTGGGCAGTGTGTTTGCAGACTTCGAGCAGCAGCTGGCCTCCACTCAGACCAGCGCTCTCTCACAACAGGTACAGCTCTAAAGAACATCGACAAAGTAGTCCTGCACTAGCCCGGTCGTACCACACCATAGTACAAATTACATTTCATTGACTCCGTTAACAGGTGGGAGGGGCTAACTCCTTTTACAGATTGAAACGATTGGATCTGAGTTTACTGTGACGTATGTAATGAGCCCGAGTGAGTCGTTAGCGTTTAGCATTTAGCCTAGCTTTAGCCATCTGCTTTGCCTCTAACAAAGACCGTTGGGAGTAGCGCCACAATTGTTTGCCAGCGATTGCATTTGCTAAACATTCTTCTTGCTCCGGCTTCAGTTTCTTGATAGAACCAGACCAAAATACTTTACTAACGCATTCTTCGCCAAACTACAACCTGCCCGTTCGACGCAAACTCTTGACGTCACCCACATCTAACTACAACACCCGCCTCTCGCGCTCTCTGATTGGTCCCAGTGTTTAATCGCAAACACAGGGACCAGACCCAAACGTTACATGCAGGAAATTACGATTGAGCGGAGTGCGCGGATGGATAAGGCCAGGCTAGTCCTACACTGGTCAGCTTTAAAAGTCAAATCAAAGAATGGCTGAAAAGAAACCAGTCACATGACCACTAGACTCTTAACACAATACAGGCAGCACGGGAAAAGTTACGCTGTATTTTATTGTATTGTATGTTGTCATTTCCTATGTATTTTCCAGCCTAGAGACTACAGATGAAAACTAGCTTTATAGCTATAATCCGGCATATTTACATTTGTTTTATACTGATGTTAATTAATGTGCATTGTCCCTATCAAATAAATAAATAAAACTCCAGAAATTGGAATAACGTTCAAAAAGCCTGTCTGCTTCTGTACTTCTACTTACAATGTGGAACCAATGGAAGTCAGACTCATTACCTTCTTACTACAGGACATTTGTGACGACGAGGTGACCTAAGCGCCGTTGCAGCAGATGCAAATTAACGTGTTGCTAGCATGGTGCTAAGACAAGCTAGAGCCGTACTGTCACTGTTTCTCTCACTGCGAATAAGACCTGGACCGTAGATAATGAAAGGTGAACGTTGATGTGGTTTGGGCCAGAACCAACAACCGATCGTAACCGCAAACACGGGGACCAGACCCAGACGTTAGATGCAGGACATGATGATGGAGCAGAGTGTACGGATGGATAAGACCGGGCTAGCAAGGGAGTATGTTCCTAACGTGTTGGTGTTTGATTCAGCTGGAGCAGTTTAACATGTTTGAGACGCCCGTCAGCGCAGACAGCCTGTCCTTCTCCCAGACCTCCACCTTCAACTACTCCCACCTGCCGCACCTCCAGGACCAAGGGCTGGGCTTCGGTAACCACGGCAACATCCCCAACATCATCCTCACAGGTACCGGTCCCCACCATCTCATCACCTCGGTCCTTTAGAGAGAGTTTTCTTTCATTTTCCAGAAATAATTAAAGACCTTATGACGGGTTTGATTTATTTAGAAATACAGTTTTAATACCATTTTATATTAGAAGAGAACTACTAAAGGCTTCAAAATCAGTTGTTTTTTTTGTCTGATCCCCCCAAATCGAAATAACCCCATAGCAACGCCCTTAGAAACGAAAAAACTTCACAGCCCTTGGTGACGTCAGAGTGGGTACGTTTCAACGCTGTAAGTTGTTTACAATTTGGTATTCGTTCTTTTTTCGCGGATATTCAAGATGACAAGGCCACGTACAGCGAGTCTAAGATAACTACTAGAATGTAACATTTCATTGTCACTGAGATAGTCCAGTGGTTGTGTCGACGCACTGCCAATCCAGATACTTGGGTTTAAATCCCACCTCAGACACTTTTTCACTCTCAAAACGGCAATTTATGTGTAGTGAGCAATTGTCACCTGTAGAGGGCAGTATTGTGTTGGGCATCAGTGGAGAGAAGAGAGAAAAGGCAGTCCTGTGGCATAGATCCATGGTTTTCAATGCATGGGCGTTACCCGCTGTGACGTCACACACAGGTCAGAGCATAGACAACTTAAATTCATGAAAAACACATTCTTTTTATAAAATATAGGATTTTTTTTGCCGGAATCTCTTTCAAATTGACATTGTCATGCAATTTTGATATCCACTATTTTTTTTTTTTAAACCCGTCATAAGGTCTTTAATGATTAAGAGATCCTTTATATTCTTCCCACAGTGGGGGATTTTCAGAAATGTCAAAATTACAGAAATATTAGTATTAAATATTTTGACCAATCACTGAAGTGGGAACGCACCCGGCAACCAAATTCATAATGGTTTTTCATTCCTTGATCTTTCTTCTCACTTTTATTGACCTTTTGAGGCATCAGATGGTCCAAAGTGGCAGTAAAAACATATTTAACGTCACTTTGGCAGCACAAGGAAGGACAGGGAGGTGTTGTTGGAAAGAGTATGGCACCACTGCAAACTTACCAAGACACGGCCAGCCTAAACCAGGCTGGTTTAGCCAAAAAAAGCATTCACAGCATCTGGAACGTAGCGTTGAGCCAAGAGTGACTTTTGGACCATTGTGTAAAGCCGTTATTGAGAGGAACAAGGGTGTTTATGATTGGATAATTCTGTTTCCGGGTACACCCCCACCGGCAAGGAGTCAGATTAGAGGCATGTCAGCGCACATGCTCTTGGACCCGCCCCCACTGCTCTCACCGCTGTCTCTCTCTCACCCCTATCTCTCTCGCCCCTATCTCTCTCTCTCTCACACCCCTATCTCTCTCGCCCCTATCTCTCTCTCTCTCACCCCTATCTCTCTCGCCCCTATCTCTCTCTCTCTCTCACCCCTATCTCTCTCGCCCCTGTCTTTCTCTCTCTCACCCTGTCTTTCTCTCTCTCGCCCCTGTCTTTCTCTCTCTCACCCTGTCTTTCTCTCTCATCCTGTCTTTCTCTCTCTCGCCCCTGTCTTTCTCTCTCTCACCCTGTCTTTCTCTCTCGCACCCTGTCTCTCTCTCTCTCTCTCTCGCCCCTGTCTCTCACACCCCTGTCTCTCTCTCTCTCTCGCCCCTGTATCTCACACCCCTGTCTGTCTCTCTCTCTCTTTTTCTCACCCCTGTCTCTCTCTCTTTATCTCACCCCTCTCTCTCTCTCTCTCTCTCTCTCTCTCTCTCTCTCTCCCTCTCTCTCCCCCCTGTCTCTCTCCCTCTCGCTCTCTCTCACTCTCTCTCTCTCTCTCTCTCCTGCAGTGAGTGGCGAGTCCCCCCCCAGCCTGATCAAAGAGCTGGGCTGCCTCTCCGCGGACCTGGACCTGGACTCTCCGTTCCCGCTGGACGACCTGAAGATAGACCCTCTGACTCTGGACGGTCTGCACATGCTCAACGACCCCAACATGGTCCTGACCGACGCCGCCACAGAGGACGCCTTCAGGCTGGACCGGCTGTGACCCCCCACCACCACCACCACCAGCTCCTGTATGTACCCCACAGACTGTACCACAGGAGAGGACCAAGAGGGAAGCCGGTTTAAGTCCATTTCTCTCATAGCAACCTCATAGCAACCAAAGAGCCAATCAGTATCAAGGCTGCGCTGCAAAAAAATTATACAATTTGAGGTGATAAATGCTTGAATCAAGTGTTTTTTTTAACTTAGTTTGAGTTCATTCTGACTGTGTTAAAAAAAGATTTTCCAATGGGAGCAATTCTTATTTCAAGAATTGCTATATTTTCTCATTCCAAGACAGACATTACTTGTCTTTTTAAAACAATATCATTTACTTTGTCCCATCTGCAAATCTTGTTTTAAGGCTCAGTCAGAATGTGCTCAGATTAAGATACATTTTGCCAAATTTGACCATTTTTTTACTTGTTTATCATCACTTTTTGCTGAAAAATCAATCAAAATGTATTTCTTTAACACAGTTCACACAAAACATTGACAACTTTTAAAAACCAGTTCAATTCATTTCCAAGTCATTATTGGTCAAACCTGGAAAACAACATCTAAATAAGTATGTTTGTGTAATGTAGAGAGTTAAAACTGTTGAAAGGCTAAATGCTAAAGACCAAATGCTAACGGATAACTGCTAAACGGTTTGTTGCTATAGTAACTTGAATTAAACCATACACTAAACTTCTAGAGATACAGAACAAATCCTTAAATTCTGAAAACCAAAAACTGACACAGAGACTGAGTAATCACAATTCTAGAAGTAAAAGCCGTCAATTTGACTGCTCTGTGTCGTTCTAGTGTCAAGCTAGTCTCGAATCTTCTTGAACTGAAGCTTGAGTCAAATCTCAGTCTGCGATGACCGGCCTTAAAGTTTGAGTTTTGACCAAAAGTGACTGAGGAATGAATGGAAATGAAAGGTGCAGTATAGATAAATTGTATTATTTTCTGAATGGGAGAAACATGGACCTCCGCAGCTCTCTCGGCTCATCTCCGTCCTCTCCTTCTCTACGGTCTGTGATGTCACACACAACAGCCTCGGACTGGCAGAGGGAAGAGCAGCTGCCCTTCAGAACTGTACAGAGGCGTTTGATTTACAGCCTCCATGAAATGTGATGTGTGCGCTGACGTTTCCACAGCGATAAGAGCGTTCATGTGACCGATGCTGCGTGCCACTGGCGGCCTCCGGTGGTGAGGTGTCGCCACTGCACTCCAGGAGCCCAAGTTCACGAGCTCAGAGAGACATATTGTGCTTAAAAAAAGGCGTTTAAGAGATGCTAAAACTGATTTTTTTCTTGCTGAAAGTCAAGTGCAGGTTTGAATCATATACAAGACAAATGAACAATAACATAAAATAAAATGTCTAAGTTTAACATAATAAAAAAGTAAGGGTAAAATCTTGTGGCAGGAGCTCTGGTGTGTGCTCTGGTGCACACTGGAGAAGTCTTGCACAGTTTTTCCAATGTGGTTTGACTGCAAATGGCAAGTGAGTTCTTGAATCTTGAATCAAGGCAACTCAAAATACTAAACATGAGTCATAAATAACCTCAGTCTTAGCAGTTTTAACCTGGATTTGAACATTGTCAGAGAGGAAGCCTTATTATTATTATTATCATCTCTGCAGCTGAGGAGAAGCACATTATGTCTCTCTCTGACTCTGTTTTTGTGGAGAAGGGAAGACTCTGATGTTTACTGATAATCATTTTACTATGAAATTCTCAGAGCTTGTAAAAAAAACAGTTAAAATGCACCTGTTTCTGCAAAGAAGAGGAAAAAACCACCAGAAAATACCACTTTTTTTTTTTTTTTTGGCCGGATGTTTTTTCTAACTTTTAATTTCTCTAAAGTTATCAACAGTTATGCATGAAATCACAAATCACTGTGCATACTTGTTTTGCCTTAAAATGATTTTAGTTGCAAGAATAATTCATATAAATATATATATAAATATAGAGTACACATGGATCATATTACAGCTGTACAGTCTATGTTTTAAGTAGTTTATTGTGAAAAGGTGGTTTGGCAAAATCATATTCACTCAGCGTTAGAAAAACACTAGCTGTAAACTCCAGGTCGACATGTTAAAACCAGCTAAGACCAGATTTTAAATATAAAAACATATATATATATATATATGACTATATAAAAAGTATTGCACACCAGGTATTTTTGCACTAAGATTCCAATGTGGTTTTAACAACAAACAGCAACAATCTGAATCTGAATCTCCAACCGGTGAACCTTAAAACGTCATAGAGATGTAATTACGCCCCAAAATAGGCATAAAAGAGGTGTAAGAGGAATGGGCCAGAATTCCACCCAAAAATAGGTTTACGAGGAATAGGCCAGAATTCCACCCAAAATAGGTGTAAGAGGAATGGCCCAGAATTCCACCCAAAATAGGTGTAAGAGGAATGGCCCAGAATTCCACCCAAAATAGGTGTACAAGGAATGGGCCAGAATTCCACCCAAAATAGGTGTACGAGAAATGGGCCAGAATTCCACCCAAAATAGGTGTATGAGAAATGTGCCAGAATTCCACCCAAAATAAGCGTACAAGGAATGTGCCAGAATTCCACCCAAAATAAGCGTACAAGGAATGGCCAGAATTCCACCCAAAATAGGGGTAAGAGGAATGGGCCAGAATTCGACCCCCAGACTGTAAGAAGCAGGGAAGTGAAGTTTAAAAATGCAAATAGAGAAGATTTTTAATTTTTTGAAATTAAACAAACGTTTTTATAATCTGTTTTTATAAGCAATATTTGGGCCACATTTCAATATTAGTGTGATTCTTAACATATCGCGATACAGAAATGATTGGGTTTTTATCTTGATTTGAAAAGACTTCTTAAAACAATAAAACTGCCAAATTCAGTCTCATTTTGAGCACAGATAAAGCAAATTCATTTCTTGTTTTTATCGGCAAATCTTGTTTTAAGATTGTCAAAAAACATGTTAATTAAATTAGCCAAATTCTTGTGTAATCATAATTTATTAGGTTGGATTGCGCTGTTTAAATGGTTCATGGGTAATTCTTCAACTCGTTTTCTCCTCCATTTTAATTCATACTCAGATTCAGTTTATGTTCCCATTTGCAGTAAAACCCCATTGGCATAACCGTACAAGACCACCCCCGTGTGCACCAGACACAGCAGACACTACACACCTGCTCCTACCATCTGTAAAATCTGGCTTTTTTTTTCACCTGGTCTTAACATTTTGACCCGCGGTGCATAAATAAACACGACACATGCAAACCACACACAAAGTATAACATTTTATTTATGGAAAGTCTTTTAAGATGCAGAAAGGCACAGTGTAAATATAAAGTGCCCCCTATTTTTACCTGGATTTTTCTATTTCCTTGGCGCAAATGTATACAGTATACATAGTTCCCACAGACCAATGAATGTCACATGACCTCCTCGGAGACGCCATCTTTGATGGCACGCTGCTGTGTTTGTGCATTCCATTAAACAGAAGAATGAGAATAAATGTAGATATTCAAACGCAAATTGGAAAAAAAGGGCAACTTTTGAGCAAATAATTGTATATTAATACAATGGCACCACAGTTTAACGTGCTACGGACATGTTTTACATATTTGATCAAATTATGCAGCAAAAATTAACAAGCAATGCAAACATTTCTCAAAAACTTTAGATTTAATACCAGTTGGAGCTCCATTTAATTATTTTAATTATATTAACAATTAATTTAATTAATGCTAATGCCACACGGACACTCTGGATTGCTGTTATTGTTTATTTCCGCGTTTTTGACCGTATGTTTTGGTGAATGGTGGGCAACTGATTTTTCCAGGCGTAAAGAGCAGTTTATTTTATGACACAGATCTTTTTACAGAAGCAATGCTGTTTGTGAACATTGTTTTAGCCCACCATAGAACTATTATTATCTATTTAATACATTTACGTTGCCCTCGAGAGCCTCTGACGGACACCGATCCTCCTCATAATAAAGTAATCTAACGCTAAATAATGAAACTCTCAAGTTACCAGATATCAGCATACACAAGTTAGTACTGAGTAAATTACGTCTGTCAACACATTATAAGATACGATACGCACCTGACACAAAGTGCTCCGAGCATATTCTTGCGTGTTTTGAGGGAGTTTCTTGCCTGTTTATCTTCGCAAGCCATAACCTCCGTCGTTGTTCTGACAAAAACTTAGTCTTCTCACATTCATGAAGTCTAATGATGGGTATACTGTAAAATCCAAGTTTAACGGAACCTCCGGCACGATTAGAACATCCATTGACCCAGCAGGAGATGACCATTTTCAACTTTATCACGACATTAACACGTTTCAGCTTCTTTTTCTATTGTTTTGCCCACAGAATGCCAACACAAATGGCGCCGGGTCGGCAAATCCCCGTATGTAGTGACGTCATGTGGGAACTATGTATAGACTCGTATTGAAGGAAAACAAAATGGCCGCCGAATATACAATAGTAAATCATAGAAAACACTATTCTTGGGTTTCATTATACTGGCCAGTAGGGGGCGCATGAGCAGAGGTGGGACAGTTTTGCTCCCATTGAAAACCATGTAAAGTCTGTTTTGGAGTCAAAGGCTCTCCTCCTGTGCGGTGTACGGTTGTTGGAACAGTCTTAATCGGGGACACTCAATTCTAAGGGAGTACTAACAAATATATCTCTTGATTTTGGGCATTTCTGGAGAAAAAAAAACAGAAGAAATTGCTGCGTTTCATTGGGGTGGCCTGCAGGGGGCGCTTATCTGGGAAAGCCTTGATCCACCTCGCCCGCCTCATTCCAGTGATTTTTCCAAAGTGTCCTCCTTTATATGAGACACAGTTGGAACATGAACAAACTCTGGTCTTTCTCTCTATTTGTGCGGTTGCTACAAGCGTACACCGCACAAAAAGATAGCATTTTGACAGCGCTTCTTCTTCTACTATATCTCCGTGTATAAACCACTTCTTCTTCTACTATATCTCCGTGTATAAACCACTTCTT